AGAGAGAGAGAGAGAGAGAGAGAGAGAGAGAGAGAGAGAGAGAGAGAGAGAGAGAGAGAGAGAGAGAGAGAGAGAATTGAGTGGGACCTTGGGTCTTCTTCTTCTCTCCATGAGCCTGAAACTGCTGGGAGACTCTGGGACAGATTACTGTACAGTGGGGCCTTGGTCTTCAACCAAAACTGCTGGGAGATGCAAGGAGAGAGTCGGGACCTTGCCCTTCTCCTCTCCATGGGATTGAGACTGCTTGGGCCCCTCTCCATGGGACTGAGACTGCTGGTTCTCCTCTCCATGGGACTGAGACTGCTGACACTCCTCTCCATGGGACTGAGACTTCTGGGACACTCTGTGAGAGCGGTGAATGACGATGAGAATTTCATAGTTGATCTTTGGACTCTGCACTGACAGAGGCGAAGGGCCCAGTCTGTCAGTCCAGACCCCAAATTATCTCCTAAAAAAGGAAAAAACTTCAAAAAAGTAATGCAATACAATTATACAAATTTATACAATATAAACTCTCAATAGACAACTCTCAATTGCAACTCTCAATCAGTTGTGTATATTGAGAGTTTATATTGTATTGCATTACTTTTTTAAAGTTTTTAATGTTTTTTTCTTTTTCAGAATTGTATAATTTTTTATTAATTTATTAATTTTCATTATTATTTTGAATTCAAGAAGGTTACAATTTACAGCGAACTTGATAATCCTTCCATCACCTGCGTCTGCATGGCTACCGTCTTCCCTCGAACATGACGCACTCTGTATACAAGCTATCTTTCTGGTTCAGTACAGCCATAATGAGGGTGAGTAACCGTGAGTTGTCTTTGGGGGAAGACCACAGCCGCAGTTGATTGCCACTCTCTCTCTCTCTCTCTCTCTCTCTCTTCTTCTTCTTCTTCTTTTTTCTTTTTTTTTTTTTAATTGGGAACCATGCTCCAATCTATGTGGGGAGTAACACGTGCTGGGAACTGGGCCCAGCGTCCCATTTGAAACCATATTGGAGAACATAATATGCAAAAGCATAATGGCCATTATCGGGTGGGGCCATAATGGCCATCACCTCCCTCAAGGTGTCCGCAAGGTCGTGTCACTCTTTTTTCCATTGACGCTCCCATGCAAAACTACGATTGCTCTCAGAGAATTCAAAACTAGGCCATCGACTTGCATACATGTAATGGTACGGATGCTTTCGAGAAGTCGACAGTCGTTTCTTTGCTCGCTTACCTGTGTTGTATTGCGCGTTGAAGGTTGTTTGTTCTTCAGCTGTCCATAAACTACTAGCGAGTTGGGTTCGAACTTCAGTGCCATTACTGTCCAGCAGAAAAAAAAAAAAAAAGGTGTAGCATAAATATTAAATCTCAGTGTACATTACTTTTGGCTTGTGTAAGCATGCATGCTGCGTGAGCAACAAAGTGCGATTTCTGGTTTTTTTCGACGCGATTCTGAGTTTCGGTGTTCTATCATCGTCAATTACGAGACTTTACGACAGACATACGTTATCAGACCTTGAAGACCGAAAACTGGGCCACTACCGTCTTCACCCGAATAGAAAGCCCGGTCATTATCGCTGCATCTGGACTGAAAGAAGCCCCAAATACAGCTATAATGACCGGGCGTTATATTCCGGTGAAGACGGTAGGTCAGATTGCATGACATATGCTACGTAGTACATACAAATGACAAAAAAATAATATCCACACAGCTATCACTTGATACTACTTGATAGTACTTGATAGTACTGATACTACTTGATACTACTTGATAGTACTTGATACTTGGTAGTACTTGATAGTACTTGATAGTACTTGATAGTACTTGACAGTGAGTAGAATGAAGTTCATGGAATGAATTGCAACGACAAACGAATGGATAGTAGAGGGCAATGGCAAATGTCATCTGCCAGGGCAAGAAGGATATAGGTGAAAGAACCATATATATATGACTTGGAGTGAACACCAACTGGCCTAGCTCAGTTGAGACACGCGCATGAACTGGTGAAATACGAACTGCGGTTCAGATCCCAATCCACTCAGAATTAAACTGGGGCCGATCGGTCTGGACTCTGAAAAGGATATAGCTAAACGCCATTGTCGTTTCGGAAAAGAGGAAAAAGGGGGAAAAGAGAAAGGGAAAAAAAGGGATGATAGTGAGCGGTGTGATCCGCCTCCGATAGGTGAAACACCTCAGCCTCTCAGGCAGGTTTACATAGACAATGGCATAGAAGCAGTGAATAAATAAGAGGATATAATATTTATTCTTTGAACTGGGACTACGGTCCGACTACAAGAATAGTAAACCATATAATAATAAAACCAATATGAATAAATTTACAAGTTACAGCAACATTGAGAGCAGCAAAAACGAGGTGGACAGTGGACTTCAATGAAAGAAGTTAACGAGTCGCAGTCTGCGATGATTGAACACTATGTTTCCCTTCGTTAGTTCTTCCAACGTCCTATATCACTCACCTAACCCCCTTTATCCTTTAGTGAAAACAGAATGTATCATCATCATCATGTACTCGTACTGTATGCTCATGTCTCGTCGCTGCTGCTCGCAGCTTGCCACACGCTGGCATGCAGATCCTGAGACGAGACCTGCCACATATCAGATGCAGACCAAGAGCCACCACAGTGCTACGAATGCGCACTTCCTGTCTACTTTCTACACCTCTCTCTCTCTCTCTCTCTCTCTCTCTCTCTCCCCTCCTCCCCAAACTTCCCACTTCCGCATTGTCAAGATCTTTGTCTAGGTCTCTCCTTCTATGAGCTACCCCTCCGGTGCTTCCAATGTCCAGAATCTCTGTTCAGCATCACTAACTCCCTCTCATGGCCTGTCCTTCATCCCCAGCTTGCTTTCCATGGTTCACATAACCCCTTAAACCACCAGCGCCTCCTACCCTCTTTTTCCGATGCGTTGTGCTGCCTGGCCCTAAAAGCTAAAAGAATTGAGCCGTCGTGCCAGGCACCGCGAGCCTTTCCCATCGCGTACACATGAACTGCGGTTCTCCAGCACGTTAACTGGTACGCAGAACCGAGGTACCTCATCAGGGAAAGGGACTGGTGGTTTGAACAGACAGATATCCCAATGTGGAATAATTGATGTAATGAAAAAAGTGCACTGACGACAGAGACTTGCCGCTGTTGAGCAACACACTGTCCAAATAACTTGGCAATAAGTTTACCTACTCAAACACACACATGCACTCCAATAACAGACTGGACTCGCATCAGATATGGATGATATTCCCTGCTAGTTTATTCCGGGAAAAATTGGGAAGACTCCGGCTTCCCTGACATTTTAAATAATTGAAGACGAAGGCAATTGGGGCTTTACAAAATATAAAGTATGACTTCTTATCCTCTCTCTCTCTCTCTCTCTCTCTCTCTCTCTCTCTCTCTCTCTGTGCAATGATCAATCAAAGTCTTCCACACCTACCTCATAGAATCACGCTTGAGAAGATGCTATATGTATATATATATTCAGAGCACCCGAGGGTTGCAACCCTCATCCATGTTGCTAAAAATGCCGCTACTTTCCTCCCGGCATAGGCACAGCTTCCTGCGTGGCATATGCCCTGCCCCCCTCCCTCTGAAGTGATCGGCTACGTACACCTCCTCCAGCAGCGATAATGGATAACAAGTCAACAAGCACTAACATTTCGAGAATCAAGGATAAACAATAAGCTTGAGTAAAACATCAACGACAGCAAATTCAATACCAGTACGACAGGAAATCGATCAAGTAATCCTCACCCCTGATCAGTGATTACTCCACAGGTGCATCGAGCCCTGAGCCTCCTTCGTTCGTGGCTGGATGGGTAGGTGCACATGCTCTCCCCTCCTTTTGAAAGCATATAGCTTGCAGGCTTATCAGCAGCAGCTTCATTTCGTGCCCCATCCGTGCGGCGTGCCAGCATGATGTCCAGTCGAGCGGTGACAAACACTTCAAGATGGAGGATTCTCTTCAGGAAAAAATAGGACTCCCTGAAATTTCGACTCCTTTCTCACGCATATAGATTGCGGGCTTCCCTACCCAGTGCTCGGTGCCAGCATGATGTCGGGTCGAGCGGCAACAAAGACTGCAAGATGCTCAGGATTTCTTTCAAGGAATCCCTGGAACTCTTCCCAGCTGACCACTCCATCCTTGTTCAGATCCATTTTCCCAAAAAGTTTCTTGACCTGCCAGTCACAAGGATTCAAGCAGAGTCACATGATCATACCATAAGTGGTAATTTGGCTTTCTGACTTGGAAGTCTTTCTGTATTTTTGACTTCTTATTATTCTTTTCGTTTACTTTTTCTCACTTTTCTTGCTCCAACCAATGCCGCCGGATTTGAGTTTATTGGGGATTGGGCGAAGACCTTGACTTTGAGGGAATTTATGAAGATGATCAAGGAAAGACTTCTCAATGGTGGACATGCAATGGTACGGAGCGGCATAAGCAGACGTCGACGGGGAGAGAGGCGGCAAAATTAACCGGCACAGCCAGAGCGTTCTTCGCTGACAGGTCTCTTTCTCGGCCTTTCTCAGCCCTCCTCAGTCTCTCTCAGTTGTCTCCATGATACTTTTTCCCCTGGCGGTGAAGGAAAAACGGAGCATATCTCGGTAAGGGAGGGAAGGAAGGAGTAGGATCTTCTGAGACTGACACTTGGTAAGGAAACTGGATGGGACGGTGGACACGCCCAGCAGTATTGTTTTTCAGAATTTGGAAGTGGGGGGAACCAGGTAGAGAGAGCAGATATCTGGCGCCAGGTGCAGGGTGAAGAGGTCCCCCCCTCCCAATCTCCTGCTCAGTCAATCCCCTGGTCCCCAGGGTAATCAATGCTGGCAGGATCATGCCACACTTTTCTGTTGAGATTTGATGAGATTTGATGTGATTGGAATTTTGCCTATGTAAGGGACGCTGGACCCGGTTTCCAGCTCCCCACCAATAGATGGAGCCCTCCCCAGGTGCTAGCGGTATCTGCTCGTACCAGCACCACTAGCACTGACGGGTGCGTTTAAGCGATATATAATTCGCAAGCTATGTGTACTCTGTGAATCACTTATCGAGGAGAGAACGGGGCCAGCTGGACAAGGACTCCTCCCAAGGACCGAACCAAGCTTGAACCCGTGACCTTGTAGCATGTACCCCCCCAAGGACCGAACCAAGCTTGAACCTGTGACCTTGTAGCATGTAATCCAAGACTCTACGTACGAGCAACTACCGGAAATGGAATGATCGTGTGATATGCCAGACTGGGGAGAACATCAGAACACCCGAGACCAACCAACACCCCAAGCAAACCCTGTGAAACCCACAACCAGCATACAACACCGTGGACTACCCTTGGGTGGTGCACAGGCAGTGTCTGTAACGTAAGCCCGAGGGGATGTGTGTCCAGCCGTGCGTCAATCTAACTCCCTGCCGGTGTCCATGCACAAGGCTGCGGGGTTTGAACCCGCAACCTTATACCACAATGCGCATTTCCAACTGGTGCTCTAACCACTGAGCTACATCAACTGGACTTGCAGGGGTCCCCTCTATATAGTCTTTAACACAATTGTGTCGCATAAGTAGCGACCTGCACGAATGGTGTAACAACGACTGCCCCGCTGTCTCCAACATGGGCTCAGTGAAATTGAATGCTCCATGAAGATGCGGAGTAACAGTGACTGGGTAGTGAAAGGTGTTTTTTTTTTTTTTTTTTTTTTTTTTTTTNAAGGCGTTTGACCAGCTTACAGCTGTCAACCAGCGACATTGGACATCCGTTGATGCTCTCTCTCGTGAAGTGGATCGTCTGATGCAGGTACCAGGATTGAACATCCATGATGATCAGGTCCTCTACATCTACTCACGAGCCTTACCTGAACCTATCCGCGGACAGCTGGTTGCTGAGTCAAAATCGGGTAAGTATACGTATAGACAGTTCCGGGATCTCGCCTTGCAGTGAAAACAAATGACGTCGCAGGTGAAAAACACCTACGCTGGGGTTACCAAGTCAAAGCAAGGGAGTGGATTAGGGAAAATAATTTTGTGGAGGCAGAAGAGACAAGACCACACGCTCGTGTTCGACGACGACACAATCGAGAAGTGGCCCCTCAAAGGAAGCTAGGGACAGGCGAATGCGGGCCGGGAATCGGAAAAGAGTGATGTCACCGCCAAAGTTGTCAGCAAGGGTGGCAACAATAATAGAAATGGAAATGGATATCGGAGGAGACCACATTCCTTTCCAGCCCATTCTGGTATAGGTTCCGAAAGGCCTTGGGAGAAAATTGGCATTTTCGAGGATATATGGTAGGAGAGGAGAGGATGGATAACCATCAGTGCCTGAAGTGCAGCATTGCGGGGCATATTAAAGCATGGTCCCCTCTGATTAGGAATCCAAACGGGAGCAGCCATCTGCTCCTACTGAGCCGAAGGGTGCAGATGTAGATCCGGCGTCGGGAACCCCTTTCCACCTTTCAACTCCTATGGCAGAGGATATCTCTTCCTTGGGCCCTCACTCAGATCGCCTTGAACCTGTGATGTGCAGAATCCCTCTGAGTGAGACCCTTGATGAGCTTGGCAATGAACTGATTAACTTTCGAAGCTCATGGGCTAAGAAGGCGAAGTCTAAGGGCGAGTTGATGCTTGCAGATGTAGAGATTTCGAAGACAAGGACCGTTGCTCTGTTAGACCCAGGCTCGACTATATCCTACGTATCCAAAGGTGCTGTAAAGAAAATGCACTTGGGTATGCGAGTAAGGAAATCTAGCATAGCCTATTGTCTCTACGTTGGCATATCGGAGTACCATCACGATTTCCCAATGTGTGGAAAATGTGAAGTGTTACTTTAGGAAACAGGAAGGTAAGCGTATCCTGCATGAAGTAACATTCCTGATTGAAAAGAATCTGCTGTTTGATATGATCTTGGGAATGGATTGGCATGAGGAAGCAGACCTTGAGACCAAATATAAGGAAAAACTTGTGAAAATTAGGAACGAGAATAATGAGTTGAAACTGATTAAATTGTATCATAAATCAGGATCCGACTCTACATTGTCTTTCTGTTGTACGAGTCTCCCTGCATTTCGATCCATGGTTGTGAAAAAGAAGTTGGCACAGGAGGTGATGATGGTGTTAGGAAAGACTGTCGGTGAATGTTCCTCTTCCTACCCTCCTATTGAAAAACTACTTGACGAATATAAGGATCTGCAGAATGAACCAATGGGGGTAACCGAAAGGAAGATAAAACATACCATTGAGATTGTTCCCGGAAGTAAAATTCCCAAAGCACCAATCTATCGTATGTCCCCAAAGGAATTTGATGAATTGAGAAAGCAACTGCAGAAACTAATTGACAAGGGATGGATCATACCTAGCTCTTCTCCTTATGGGGCTCCTGTTTTGTTTGTTCCCCAAAAGGAAGGTGAGTTACAACTTTGTATTGATTACCAAGGGTTCAATGCGGTCGCTGTTAAGAATGTCGAACCCCTCCCTCGAATTGACGACCTTCTAGACCAATTGCAAGGAAGCAGGTACTTCAGTAAAATTAACTTGAAGTTCGACTATTGTCAGATTGAGGTAGCCCCTGAAGATCAAGACGGCCTTCAGAACAAGGTATGATCACTATGAGTTCGTAGTAATGCCGTTTGGGTTGACTAACGCACCTGCTACCTTCCAAAGGTCAATGAATGAGTTGTTTAGAGAATGGTTGGACCAATTCGTAGTAGTATACCTTGATGACATCCTGGTCTTCAGCAAGACACTGGAATACCATGAAAAGCATCTGCGTTTGGTCCTACAAAAACTGAAAGAAGAAAACTCCAAATCGAATCCTAAGAAGTTTGAATTTGCGAAATATGAAGTTCTATACCTAGGACACGTTGTGAATGAAGATGGGTCGACTATAAAAAATTGACCTAAGCCAAAAACTCTAAGACTTGCACTCCATTCTTAGGCTGGTCAGTTATTATAGGAAATTCGTTAAAAAGTATCTTGCATAGCTGCCCCAACGAGGAGGCTCATGAAGAAAGAAACTATTTGGCTTCCGGATAAAGACTGTGAGTCTGCATTCAGAAAGCTAACATATGCGCTCACTCACTACCCTGTTCTGAAAATTGCAGACCCATCCTTGCCTTTTGTTGTGACCACTAGCGCGGGTCAGAACAGGATTGGGGTTGTACTGCAGCAAAATGATGGGAGGGGTTACCGGGCAATCGAGTTCATGTCCTACCGACTCCCTTCGGACAAAGTAGCAAACTCAACCTATGAGAGAGAACTATTTGCAAGCTCTACTGACATGGAAACACTACCTCTTAGGTAGGCACTTCAAAGTCTACTCAGAACACGAGACTCTCAAGTGGCTTCAGACGCAACCTCGTATTACTGACAAGGTTGCCAGATGGTCCGCTATCATTGCAATTGTCACCTACTCGGACATAGGAAACGACCTGAAGGATAAGATTCGAAAATGACATGCCACTGACCCAGTCTGGCAAACTATTATAGACAATCTAACATAATGAACCTACAAAGACTCTAATTCTTGGTGAGTGCCTTGACACAGCGGGACACTTTGGGTTCAGAAAAAAATTGCCAATGTCCGAGAACACTTTGTTTGGCAAGGATTGAAGAATGACACACTAACGTACGCGAGAACTTGTCTTGTGTGCCAGCTCAACAAGCCATCCCACGAGAGTCCCTTGGAACAATTGAGACCACTACTGATCCCTGAAAGACCAGGTGAGTCGATTTCCATCGACTCCATGAGCCTAATTAAGAGTCGGAATGGAAACAGTCAGGTATGCTAGGCAAGAACAAAACTTGTCATTCAAAAGTTTCATATGCGATGGGTTTCTGAGTATGGATTCCCTACGCGTCGGATAGAGATGTGAGATTCACCGGAGAATCTTGGCGGAAACTGATGGAAGCTTATGACACCAAATTGACAATGTCGTCAGGACGACATCTTAGGACTAACGGTCAAACCAAACAAATGAACAAATTGTGCCAACAGCTCCTACACATATATGTGCGTCCTCACCAGATTGACTGGGATGAGAACCTACCCAAGATTGCAAGTGCATATAACAGTATACACACTTTTACCAGACGAACACCCAATGCACTGCACAAAGGATGGCAACCTCTGAGACCAATTGACTCTCACGAGATTGGATCCAAAAGCTGCCCCCAAGAACCCAAGAATTCACAGTTCTCTATGACCAAGACATTGAAAAAGCAAAAGAGAATATAAGGAAAGCCCAACAGAAAATGATTGAACAGGCAAAGAAACATAGAAGGCCTGCACAATTCAACGAAGGAGATATGGTTTGGGTTGAATCCAACAAATTTTCACTTGAGGAAAATGTCTCGCAGAAACTGCTACCTATCTACTATGGACCCTGGGAAGTTCTCAAAGTTATAGGCGATGCAGGTGGACCTTCGTACCGAATTGACATTCCCCCTCATCTAAAGAACTACCCAGTCTTTCACGCATCTAAGTTGTTACCCTATGCTGAAGGACAAGAATTCCCAAGTAGAACCGTCTTCATTTCCTCCTCCAATGGATGGTGGGTACCGAGTGGAGAAAATCATTGAACACGGGTTTTTCTCCAGTGGAGCTAGAGGAAGACCTCAGAAGCAATACAAGGTAAAGTTTTCTAATCAACCGCCGTCTGAAGCTCGCTGGCTTAGTAGAAGATACCTACCGCTCCTGATATTGTCTCTGCATACGAGAGAGGTTTAAGCATCCAAGCCTGAAACGGAATTTCTGCGGTGGAACTTGAAATCGGGCAGGATGGAATGCTGTAACTCGTGTGCCGAAATTGAGCCGCTGGGCTCTGGTTGTGCCCTCAGACAAGCACAAATGGGCAGGCCCTGAAAAAAGGGGTCAAACTGGCCATAGGAACAGGCCTAGACCGGCAATTGACCGACAAAATGTCAACAGTCAAGTCGTGGACCCAGGCCCAAATCCGAGAACTCAAAGTCAACACACAAGATTTCCTGGCCATCGGTATGGAATGATCTCACAGTGGTCTGCAGGTTCTGGAAGATTCAGGCCTCAAGGAGTTCAGACCAAAACTGGGACAAATTGCATCTGAGCCGCAATCCGTCCGGGGCCTCACACAGACAGAAGCTGACCCTGGAGAACGCGAGTCGACACTATATAGAGTTGACTTCACCACTGCTTGGATATTCAATCTTGCACGTTGCTTGCGGCTTCGATGCTGTACGTGAAACTTGAGAGCAGGCAGGGGGATTTGATTTGATTTGATTGGATTGAATGAATGGATGGATGGATATCTATTAGAACACCAGCCTTACTGGCAGCAGCAGTAAGCATTATGAAAAGGTCAACATAAAGGGAACCAAATGCATTATTGTGGCAAATGGATCATTACCCCGCAGAGACAAGCACCTCTACCTCCAGCAGTCATTTATGGAGGAAAAACAAGGGAAGGGGGGAGGGGAGAGGGGGCGGGGGGAGCGTGGATTGTGACGTTGCTGTATTCAAAAGGATTCAGATTTTGAACTGTTTGAGTTGCACGTTGCAACCTATTAAGTAACAGAGCAGTATAGCTGTATTAAGTGCAACTTTCAAGGTAGATGCAGACATAATAACCATGCGTTGTCTCCAGGAGAGGGAGGTACTCAACCTCTCAGTTATGTGACAGTTGAAGTATGCGCAGGGAATCATTAGCAGTTGACCACTTGGTTTGCCCGTTTCTTTTTTCATTTCCTATTTCACCTCCCTCTCTCTTGGTGGATGGAGTTTTTGTTGTTAACTTGTCAAACTACAAGTTCACATGAAGCCACGAACCTAAGCAGTGCTCCTACCGGTAATACACGGTAAGAGCATTTCCATTTTGGCCTGGGCCGATAGCGAAAGCGGCAGGCCACTTCGAATAGGTGCACCTGAAGGCTCGCCGGCCTTGGAAGGTAGCTTGGTCAACTTAGGGCCTCGCCACACCACTGTCGAAACAAAAAAAGCACTAGTGCATCTTCCCCAAAAAGTGGCCAGATGCATCTGTTGTTATTCATAGGAACGGGTGCATCTTGCCATTTTCTGTGGGAACATGCATTTAAACGTTTTTCGTTTCGACAGTGGTGTGGCGAGGCCCTTAGGCTTGTGTGAACTGGCTGTTTAATGTGGTGGCAGATTCGGATACGAATCTGACGCAAAGAAACAGAAGAGCTTTGATTCGGAGATTAACATTCGTACTTTTTTTTTTTTTTTATAATTTGGACCGTTTCTCTATTTATGTGTGTCATCCTTGCGCAGGGGCCATGCTAATCTTCTCTGTATCGTTCCAATTTTAACGGATGTCCCGAAGGACTAACATTCGTATCCTTACCGTACCTTTTTTTTTTTTTTTTTTTTCCCCTTTTAAAACACTTGCGCATGGGCCATGCGAAACTTCTCTGTACCATTCCAATTTTAACGGATGTCCCAAAGGACACTACTCTAACCGCATTTTTGCTATCTTCGCCAGACCATTGCGAAAGTGAGCCAAGGGTAGCTCTGTACTCACCTTTTGATCATTCAAAGCGGGAAACACCATTTTCAGGCTGTCGTGAAGCTGTAAGATTATCAGAGCCAAAGAACAACCAATGACAAGAGCACGCCGGTTACATTCTTCGCAAACCTTATCCTCCTCTCCCCCTTACCAAATGCCATGAATCACGTAAAAGAATGCGAGGTCCTATCCTCCATACTAACACGCTAACTCCTGGGCACCCAGAGTTATGTCATAGTCGATGGATTTCAATCCATCTGGCTTGCAGCTGTCTCCGAACCGGATGTCAAAAAGCTAGCGCACATTCACAAAATCAGTATTGAGAAATAGCAGACAAGCAAGAACGGAAAGACAGACAAACTTGTATTCATTTGCTCTCTCCTCTGTTATTTGTTTTTGATAGGTATTGAGGACAGACCGGTCTGCTAACGCATCACACAGGTCATACTCGTAGTCATATACAGTATTATCCACACACCTATCAATAAAGAGTCGATATAGACTATTAAAAAGCGAGAATTTGCCAAACAAATGAAGAGAGCAGCACACAGCAAGAGCTATAGTCTTCACCTGAATAGAACACCCCGTCATTATAGCTATATTTGGGGCCACTTTCAGTCCAGATGCAGTGATAATGACTGGGTGTTCAATTCGGGTGAAGACGGTAGGCAGGAGGGAACAGGAAGAGACCTTAAGGCACACTAAAACCGTTCTTTTCGACCTTTTCTGTGTTGGCTCTCTCCTGGTTTCCACCAACTTACCATGGTGGGGGGAAGCATGGGATGGATGCATTTGCAAAACAATGCTGTTGGAGGCAGGGTAGCCGGCGTTCGGTATGGGCCGAACGCCTGAGAACCCAAACGCTAAAAAATTCGGGACCCCCAGGCCCGGTGTTCAGCCCGAAGTTCCCCGAATGCGAACTTTTTTTTTTTTTTTTTAATATATTGCCAGAGGGGGTGTTCTTCACACCTTTTTTTCTTTTTTTTGTTTTATTTTTAATATATCGGAAGGGGGGTTCTTCACACTACAGATTAATTATAACAAAAAAAAGCTGGGCAGGGAGGCAGTCTGCCTGCCAAACGGCAGGAACCCCTCCCGCCATTTGAGTGTGTTGTCATATTCGCTACGCAGTCAAAAAAAGCATGTACCAGACTATTTCGTCGGACTTTCACCGACTCATCAGGAGGTTGAACCCCGACAGTCTGCCCAGGATGCATTCGACTGATCGATAAGGACTCACCACATCACCCAGAGTTATGTGAGTGTGTGTTATGTGTGTGTGTGTGTGCGTGTGCACCGGGGTGGGGGGGTCACCCCCTGCCCCCCAATCAAAAACTTTAAAAAGTTGGAAAAAAAAGTGCGTTTGCGCTCCCATGTGTGCATGTGTGTGTGTGGGAGGAGGGCGACACCCCCCCACCCAATCAATCAATCAATCAATCAATCAATCAATAAAAAAATAACGATAAAAAGTTGAAAAAAAAAAAAAGGTGTGAACAAGCGCGCGCGCGTGTGTGTGTGTGTGCAACCAATTAATCAATCAATCAATAAATATACATGAAAAAAAAAAAAAAAAAGGACAAAATCAAGGGGGCGTTCCATTTTTTTTCACCCCCCTATCTTCTACGATTTTTATTTGGGACGTGGGTGCGTCAGGATGTGGCCTATCTACAAAATAAAAAATGGCCCTGAAATGCGGTTTGGCGGGACTCGAACCCCTTCGGGGACAGGCCCCGAACCCCTTCCCGAACGGCCAAACGTTCGGGGGTCGGCCCGGGGGCCTCCGAATGCTCGGCACGGCCGCACGGTAACCCTGGTTGGAGGTTTCCCCAACAGAAATGAGGGCAAGCGAGGAGTCGGTATCAATGTGCATCTAACTGGGCAGCATAACGGGAACCACACTGATGCTCCCCAGAATCAGTGGAGCTAGAACCTAGGGCCTTATCTACTCCACAGCTGGGCTACCTCCAGTGCCGCCCAGGCTGCCTCCAGCTACCCAGGTGGCCCAGCCGGGCCAGGCCCGGGCAAGATTCTGGACAAGGTCCCGGGCAGCTCCAGCACAAAATGAAAAAAGAAATAGTATGTTGTTTGGAATTCCAGGCCGAACAACTTTTGGCTGAGGGAAGCGGCACACTTGCACAGATATTATATAGGTTTTTTCAATCTATAAGAAAAAATAGAAATAAACATAGAGGGGAGCGCCAAGTGTCCACTCACCTGTCTGCCGCCGAAGCGTACAACTCCAGCCTGCCCCACATAATCACATACCAGGCACAGATCCAAATCAAGCATGCACCACACAGAATCACATACCAGGCACAGATCCAAACATTCGTGCCTGGTATGCGATTCTGTGGGGCTCTCATGTTGCACATTTAGTGAGTAGTACGGTGAGGCCCATGGACAGGCCGACTCCTTTTCAGTCGCGTTTTCCGGGACACCGTTGATAGAACCCGGAGAATGCGCTGCTTATCGGATGACCCATCTCACAGATGGGCAGAGTCCAGTCGGGATGGGTTGCAACGCACACCTGACCGGAAGAGCTGTAATAGATGTGGGGGATAAAAAGGAAACAAAAAAGAGACCAAGGAAAGTCCTAGAGAAAAAGGTGGGCCGCCGGGCCAGAGAAATCCTCACCTCGGTCCTTCCCAGAAAGCCATCCCCGTCTATGTCATACGCTCTGAACGCAGCATCAACTGTCTTTGAGAACGCAGAATGCTTTGAAATAAATGCCAAGCCTTCAACAAACTGCCATTACAATTGAACACAGATGAGGGTTAAAAATTAAAATATAGCACTTCACGAAGATATAAAACATGGGGTACATAACAGAAGAAAAAGTACCGATTATTAGCACCCCCCTTCATGGCATTGCTCATCATGAGACAAAGCTCAACCCAACAGCACAAAGAATGAGAAATGATAGTTGGTATTGCTCTCATTAAAAAAACGCCAGTCAGCACGGGGCTGAATCGGGGTCATACCGGTTTCCGTGGTAAGGCCACTATGAATCCGAAGTACTGGAGACTTGCGAGTCTCGGAAGACAGCTTCGTCAACTTTGTTCGTGTGAACGGGTGGTTTACGTGGAACGAGCTTCATCGAGGTCGCAATCTCTAGCAGCAGGCAGAACACTTTGTATGTTATAAGGGATGCTAGACCCGGGGGATGCTGGACCCGGTTTCCAGCAGGTGCTGCTCCCCACCAATAGATTGGAGCTCTTTAAAAAAAAAAAAAAAAAAAAAAACAGAAGTCGCAAGAGTCGGCAAGACTCGCAACCTTTGCTCAGCCCCTCGATCACGCAAACTATCCCGGCAGTCTGAGTCACCAACTGGGCAGAGATGTACTGGCTAAGTGTCACATGCATAAAATCTGAAAATCGACAAAAATCACACCAGTAGTTCGAATCCTAGACACACATAACAAAGTTACACAAACAGTAAGGACTTCTAAAAGAGGCTCAAAACAAAGAAAAAGAGGCAAGCACATCCGAGGATGTAAAATAAGGTGGAAAGTTGGAAACCGTGCACCTCCTTTTGTGCTTCTTGAGGTCGCAGGGTACATCCCTTCGTCCACGGCCACTATGGTTCAACTTACATATTACGTAGCTGTGATGCAGACAGAACCGTATGAGTTTTCAAATGCCCTTTTTTTTTTCAGTACAACACGTCCTTATGGTCCTGGCTCCATATCCATTCTGCGGAGCATCAGTCCGGTTCCTACTCCACCAGCAAGTCAGAAATGCAGAAATACACTGTGAACGGGTCAGAAATGCAGAAATACACTGTGAACCCCCACACGCCCCCTTCCGTGTGGCCAAAGGGTCCCTGATCAGCATTGATTACTCGACTGAGTTGGAGGATCGACTGTCAGCTCGCCTTTCCCTGCTGAGTTCCCTCTCTGATCCCTCTGTCGGAATCTGTCAGTAAAGCGATAATGCAAGGAAAACTGAGATTAGAACTGACATATAACCCCTGGAACATCTCATGGAGCTCTGAAGTGTTGCTGTTCGTCCCGGTGTGAATTCCTTGTCTCCTGGGCAGCAACCGAATTATGCCAGTCTTGCCATCTGATTCATAATCCATGAATCTCAGCAACGAATTATTACAGTCTTGCCATCTGATTCGTAATCCATGAATGTCAGCTGTCTTTCCGTGGGCCAACCAAATTCTCCTGAACTTTGATATACCAGCTCTTGCTGCTTCTCCGGGTCCTGCTGGATTTGGAGTTCGACTTGGCATACGAGTTGCCGAATGTATACACATGATAAATACTCATCTACCTAGGCTACCAGCCGGGCCGGCCGCGCGGGTCACCCTGTTTTCCCGAGCGGCCTGGCCGTGCAAGGACCAGGGAAGGTCCCAACGGAACCCCCCCCACCACCCCCCCCCGAAAAACCTTAAGAAGATTTTCGTGACCGGCCGGTCACCCGGGCGTGACGCCGGGGGTGGTCTGACACCCGAGATACCCGGGGGTGGTCTGACACCCGAGATACCCGGGGGTGGGGAAAACAAATTTGGCGGTGGGTTTTTTCCGCGCTCTCCGAGAGGAGCCCAAATCCGGGCTCTTTTCTTTTTTTGAGAGTTAGGTGCCAAGGGCGGGGGAAGGGGAGTAGGGCTAAAGGGTTTTAAAGGGGGGCGCCTTGGTGTGATTTGGTTATTGTTTTTTTAATATTCAGTTCCGTGAGGAATTCTGATGTGACCCTCAGCCAAAAGTTGTTTGTATTGCAATTCTACACAACATATATATTTTTTCAGATTTTTTTGGAGTGTTCCCCTTTTTTTTTTTTTTTTTTTTTTTCGGGTTTGGCGCTGGGGCTGCCCAGGCCCAATTCCCGGGGGTCATGCCTGGCCGGTCACCCGATCGCCAAACCGGGCGTGACGTTGGGACCCCAGTGCCCCTGACATCTCCCTAGCGAAAAGCTTCAAAAAAGTGTAGAAAACTATGTTATGCAGACAAATAAACTGAACTACTTTTGCCTCAGGGTCACATCAAAATTCTTTACCAAATTTAGAGTAAAAAGCAAAACTGCAATATATATATATATCGTCAAATAGAACTGCCCGGTAATCGTCACAAACAGAACTGCCCGGTAAACCGTAGGCAGAGAGAGAGAAGAGGACAACAAACGAGGGGCTGTGACAAACTGTTTCGTCGGAGTTNAGAGAGAGAGAAGAGGACAACAAACGAGGGGCTGTGACAAACTGTTTCGTCGGAGTTTCACCGACTCATCAGGAGGCTGAACCCTCAACAGTCTGCAGAATCCCCTCACTGATTACACTGTAAATGACAATCTACCTTAACCAAAATCAAAGTAGACTATCACTCACCCACACCAGATGGAAAACTCTACAGACCGTCGGTTCACACCCCATCACAAGCCAGCAAAACATCCACGAAACAAAGAAAGGTATATATATCGTCACAAAGAAAGGTATATATATATATATGTATCATATATATATATCGTCATATATATATATATCGTCAAATAGAACTCCCCGGTAAACCGTAGGCAGAGAGGGAGAAGAGGACAACAAACGAGGGGCTGTGACAAACTGTTTCGTCGGAGTTTCACCGACTCATATATATATATCGTCAAATATATATATATATATTACCAGGCAAGTGGTCCCACACCCCTCTGGTAGCCTATAAATCTACATATGTTTCCTTCTATTTTGTGCACAGACCCCGCTTCTGGTTTTGTCAGCCCACTCATCACAACGAGTCCAGTCTAATTCTGGATCTGGAGCACGTCGAGTTCGCATAAAAACACTGCAAATGGGATGTGACCATAAATAAGTTCACCTCCTCTTTTCACTGCTAAGTCGTGTGATCTGCACTTAGCAGAGTAGAGCATGGACCTGCTGCTGCAGAAGATTCAACTCACCCGTACTTGACAACCTTGCAGAAAAAGAATTTGACTAGGTTGCTATGGTGCTTCTCATCCCAGGCCAAAAAAATGACACTATGAGGGCCCACTCACACTAGGGCCTTTTATTGCAAAATTGCTAAAATTTGATGGTTGGGCCAGTCACACGAGGCACGGAGAGTAGCAAAAGAAGCAAACCGGGTATCAAATGTCAGTGGCCTGGCGGGCCGTGGGGAAGGGCAGTTTGCTACCACCTCCGGTAGCAAACTCTTTTTTCAGTTCGAGACTCCTTCGTGTAACGAATTTTGTTGTTGAAGGGTTTATGACTTGCTCTGTGTGACCATGCGCGGCACCATTTTGGCAATTGCCAGAAAGTCCCGCTCGTGTCTTTTGTGATTCGCTGCCGCTATGTGACCCGGCAGGGTGGCATTTCAGCAAAAGAGGGATAGCACAATTTGCAGATTGTGCTGCCATGCCACCGCTGTGTGAGTATGCCCTGATTCACTGATTCCTCAAATTTGAAAATTTTGATTTTTAATGTCAATTTGCATGCTGCAGTATCAGAGAAATGAAAACAAATCGGCAATTGACAAGGGACGAGGAACCAAAACAAGGATTTATGGGGGGGGTTTGGAGAAACAGCTACTCCTCACAACATCGTAAAACATATACAGTTAGAACAGGGGTGGAGTGGTCGCTGAGCGACTGGGTACCATTCGGAGTCTTCCAGCTTGGAATGCCCCCGCTCTTTCCCCGGGTGTGTCATGGGAGTGCGATGAAAGCACTGGCCGCCAGGGTAGGGCCTGTTTATACCTCAGCCTGCACAACCTTTGTATGAAACAAAAAAGAAAAGAAAAGGAAACTGCTACTCCTGATCAGTATATGTTTTAGCCTTTTGCGACTCTTACCTCCTGGAAATTGATGAACCCCTTCTCCGACCTATCAAATAAGTAAAATATCTGACAAATTGCGAGAACACAACATAAAAGCACACATGCGTACACAATACACATGCATTTTGAGTTAGCTTCAGTCAATTTATGGCAGTTTTTGGCATTTTTGCAGCTTGCTGCTTTTTCCTTTTTCCATTTCCAAAGTGGTATTTACTGCTCAGCTGCTGATGGTGCATGGGTCCTGGGGACCATCCCACGCAAGTGTGTACATGCCATGCATCGTACTCCCACACACAATGAACAGTAGTCTGACAATAGACAAAGATAGAGAAGATGAGGACCGAGTTTCACAGTTTATATTATCAGAAATATGAATACAAAATGTTTCAAAGTTCCCCTGAGTCCAGCGCTCATCAGCGCAACAC